TTGTAAAAAATTTAATTGCAAACATTTTTTTCCTCTTCCATTTTCGCCTAAAATCAACTCTTGAAAGGATACATAATTAAATAGGAAGAAAAATATGACATTTTTCGAATTTTTTTAACATATTGTGCCGCCAAAAGTTAAGCCCACGTTTTTTTTTATGCGCATAGAAAAATTTTCATTTCTAGTGGTATATATAAAGCCAAAAAGTCAAAAATCTCCATGGATATACGATTCACCCAAACCAAAACAGATACTGCCTGGTCTATAAGTAAAATAAACAAATTGCTCCGCTAGGGCAGATGAGATACAAGGAACCATACATTCACCATTCAACTCTCGGCATTCAGCATTCGACGGCAGACGCCATTATTAACTAGGTGTTTTAAGTGCTTTATAAACCTTTTATATTACAATTTAAAAACTTGTATTTAATGTAATATATTATAATATTCGCTGATAATTAGTGTGTTTCTAACACAAGTATGATATTTTAAGTGAACTATCACACTTAATTATCAACACTACTGTCAGTATGACATTTCAATAGTTTTAATAAGCTTAATAAAATTAAATGCAGTGTGATGAATCCGATCCAATTATCTCGTTTATATTAGTCGCATCAAAAAATTTCAAGAGAAAAAAATCATTTAAAATTAAATTATCTCTCCAATGATGCTACACTAGCCATCAAAATATGGAGTATAAAAAAGTACAGAGTGAAACAAAGGACGACTACCCCTACATTACCCCCATGCCGTCAAAGCATTTTATTGGTATTCACTTCAAAACATAACTATTTATTAGCACTGACATCAGACATTTAGGAGAAATTTAAATTTTTACTTTTTTTTGTTTCAACTTTAAGGGGATGTAACTCATTAGGGGTGCATTTTGGTATGTAGGTAAATTAGTTCAAACAGTCTATTTTGACCTCTACTTTCTACCCTTTAAGTCTGGCTACATATTTGTTGGCTTAAAAAAGCAGTATTCCTTTTCTAATCAGGTAATCATTTACATACTAAAATTTAATGTTGTGACTTAAATACTCTCTAGTTTTTTTTTTTTAGATACAAATAATTTTGCTAACGGTTGCTCCAATGCCGAAAGCTGGTCCTGGGTTCATTTTGATATTCTTTTTTTTAATTTGTTCAGAGTATAGTAGGCATGGGCGTCAGTTAAATAAAACTGACAAGGGTTAGGGGATTACAAAACAACACAAATAATAGATGCAATATAAATATCTATTATAAATTATTTACGCCAAATGTAAAAAGTATAAATTTTTAATATTAATATAAATAAATTCACCATTAAATCGATTAATGATAAATTGAGTGAAATAGAATTTAGTTTAGAACAAATTACATAAAATAAGTAAATTAAGTTAGTAAAAAATGATGTGATAATTCGTACGTACCTACTCGAGAAACAGTTGTCTTCCAAGTAAAGCTTATAAAATAATACTTGAGTGGCAATCAGTGGCGGCTCGTGACATTGAGAATAGGTGAAGCATATTCATTGATTAACTAAAAAGAAAAAGAAAAAGCGCCACTGGCGAAAATTTTCAAATTTTCAAGGTCAAACGGCTTCAAATGAATCTGGAAATTTTTTGTTGCCAATATTACCGAAAAACCGACCTTCGTGAGAAGGATTTACATTTAGATTTTATAAAAAATAGAAATATTAGTTCGGCTTGTGGACTTCTGCGAACATTAACGCACACCGTACATGTATGTTCAAAAGAAGCTTTGTGGTTACGACAGCCTTGGGTGACTTTCCCAAAATTGTTAAATCCCCCCTTATTCCACACGCCCGACTTTACACCCACAATTAAACACGGCATACAGAAAAATTTTTTTAAATGAACACTTCCACACAGCCACTTATACTCCGAATGCCGTTAATTCCGAAACTTTCGAACGTACACGTTGTCTTTTGACTTCCCCCCTTTTTTCCAAATCGGGAGAATAAGGCACAGGTCTCTCGCAATTTAAAAAATCCTTTTTGTCCTCAATTTTCCATCTGGATTCTGGAAAATGGCGTTTCCAATAAAATACATACTGGATCATACATAGGAAACATTTCTACAATTATTATACAAAACAAATATTAACAAAGTTAATTGCTATAATTGTTATAATCATGCATTGGGCGACGCGTATCGTATAAACTGTTGAAGGCACTGGAACGCAGGCACTTCTGAGTATATAAAACCAATTTAGAGTTGACTTTTTCTCTAATACTATTTAAATTTAAATATTATTGAGTCATTTTTACTCAGACTTAATTATCTAAATATTGAATGCAAAAATAAATCACTCATAAATGACTAATTAGGATATACAATACAGTGTTGAAATTAATACACTTCGCGGAGCCTCCTCTTGTTCTGGCTGAGACCCGCCAGCTGAGCTAAGATCCGCCGCCGCCGACTGAGGCCTGTTTTCCTGGCAATCAGTCACGCTTTTCTGGAGCATCTAACGAGTCCCTATCAACTGTGGCCGAGATTACAGAAGCAATATGTAAGTGGTGCCATCTTTACGGCGCCATTCAAATTACTCGAAAGTAATATGTATACATTTAAACTCACTCAGTAATGAGGACATTTACTCTGATTAAGGTACAAGTGCAGCAAATGTGAGTTTACATGAAGAAATTATTTAAGGAGTACCTATATTTGAGTGAAAGTACTCAGTTTTAGTTTAAATATAATCACAAATGAATAAAATGATCAAAATGCCCAATATTGAGTGAAAATGTAGGTACTCAATAATTTCACTCAACGGATTCACTCCGAACCTTTATTGCTTTCACTCACACCGATTTTTTTACAGTGTACTTTACAAAGTTTATAGGTTAGTATAAATTTCATACTTTTTTAGAATAACAGTCGCACTACTTCTCAGGACACCAGTATATATGACACAGAGTGTCGAACCAGTTTTCGTTGTAACTAAAAACCGTTGTATAACAAACAGTGAATCTGGTATAGTGTTTAATCCTCCCGTTGATGAAGTAACGGAAAGGACTGGGAATACTTGTAAGTAATTTGAAAACTTTTTTTTCCAATTTATTTATCTATTACATAGTGTCATACAAAAATTGGGCTGAACTGTGAACCACACCAGTGTAGTATTTCGATCCGCTGGGTTATAATCAGTAGCCAGAATTCTAGGAACAGTCGTGTTTTGACCCTAACATCAACAAACTCTAGAGGAAAGAGGTTTTCGAAATTTCAGACCGACTTGAGTAATCACTGGAATTCATTATCTCATTGCACCATAAATTTCCGAATTTTATGCAGGAAACGTCGAGGGCAGATAGATCTCTTTAAAATAATAGGTGTTTGCCTTATAAACATAAGTCTGGAACGGCACCGTTTTAGAGATACAGGGTGTTGAAGTTGTTAAAAAAATTCATTTGACTTCGATTTTTTATATCATAATAATCAGTAGAAAATAACTTAAAACGCAGAGGAGTCATTTAGGAGTTAATTATTATGACGATTATGTTATATAGTAAGTAAATTGTATGAAAAATGCAGAATGGCCCGAATTTTATGCAGGAAACTTCGAGGGTAAATAGATCTCTTTAAAATAATATGCGTTTGCCTTATACATAGGTCTAAAACGGCCTCGTTTTGGAGATACAGGGTGTTGAAGTAGTTAAAAAAATTAATTTTTTGTTTATATTTCCGGAATGTATTAACCGATCTCAATAAAATTGGGTACAGATAATGTATGACACTAGGCCTTGCATTCCTTAAAATATGAGCTCTAAAGGTTCAACCAGTTGTGTACAGCTGGACAAGGATTGTCCTCTTTTTATAAAAAAACCTACGCCACTGTATTTTTTACAAGTTATTGTAACAGATTTATATTCTAATGCACTAAATACGTAAAAAAGGTAACTTGAATTTGTTCCCTAAAGTTCACCGTTCTCAAGTTATTTATACCAATACAATCCCCTTGTGGCAGATACTTCTAACCATAATATTACAAGAATATTTATGTTTATGCATAAAAGTAAGTGCAATTTGTAAGCACATCAATAAAATTCTTTATACTCGTCGCTTTCACCTTTTTAGATAAAACTATATTTGGAAAATTACGACGGCGCAATGAAAGGGACAGAAATGAAATTTTAAGAACATTTGGCGATGACCCTCGGCTAAGTACACGAAGAACGTCTCGGCAACTTGGGGTGAGTAAATCGAAAATTTGAAAAGTTCTACATAAGGAAGGTAGAAATCCGTACCATTTACAGCCTGTGCAAAATGTACTTCCGGGAGATTTAGAGACACCTGAATTTTTGTTAGTGGTTGTTTTAAAGTCACAACATAATCCAGAATTCTTACTAGAACTATTTTGGACCGATGAGGCTACATTCACAAGGCGAGAGGTAGTGAATTTTCATAATATTTGGTCACAAGAAAATCTTCATGAAATTCGGATCTTTTCAACACGAATTTTCTGTGAAAGTGTGGCTCGGAATAATTCGGACCCATCTAAATTCCCAGTCATTCCTAAACTTTCTAAAAAACCATCTATTTGAATTATTAGAGGATGTTCCATTAAATATACCACAAAATAGCTGAATACAAATGGATGGTGCTCCTGCGCATTTTAGGAGAATAATACAAGAATGACTTAATGAATATTATATGGGGCGATGGATAGATTGAAGACCAAATGCCAATGTCAACCATAATGGTGCAGAGAATTCAGTGTCTTGGCCAGCCAGATCGCCAGATCGAAACCCCCTGGAGTTCTATCTGAAAAGTAAAGTTTACTCTACTCCAATAGTTACAAGTCCACAACTACTGCAGCGAAGAGAACACAGGTGTACTGAATTAAAAGAAAACCACCACTTGATATTAGTTAGGTAAGTAATTCCATTAATCATTAATAGAAGTTGTCAGAAATGTATGGATGTGGATGGTTCGCATTTTGAACAATTGCTGTAAATACGTAACGTTAATTTCGTTTCTTGTTTAATTGTTGCTGCTTGGTAAATGTATTTTTATTATTATTTTGATTTAAATTGTTCTTATTTGTAAAGATAGTGGATTGCCTCCAGGGGAAACTAAAACACACTAGGAACAACATTACCTCACAGGTGATGTGGAAATAATTTTGTTGATCTGCTTACAAATTGCACTTACTTTTAAGCATAAACATAAATATTCTTGTAATATTATGGTTTGAAGGGGATTGTATTGGTATGAATAACTTGCGAACAGAGAATTTTAGGGAAAAAATTCAAGTTTCCTTTTTTACGTATTCAGTGCATTAGAATATAAATCCGTTAGAATAACTTATAAAAAATACAGTGGCGTAGTTTTTTTTATAAAAAGAGGGCGACGCCTGTCCAGCTGTACACCACTGGTTGAACCTTTAGAGCCCATATTGTAAGGAATGCAAGGCCTACTGTTATACATTATCTGTACCAAATTTTATTGAGATCGGTTAATAGATTCCAGAGATATAAACAAAAAATCATTTTTTTTAACAACTTCGGCACCCTGTATCTCTAAAACGAGGCCGTTCCAGACCTATGTTTATAAGGCAAACAAATACTATTTTAAAAAGATCTATCAGCCCTCAAAGTTTCCTGCATAAAATTCGGACCACCCTGTATACAAATATTACGTTATTTCAGCGTAGGTACAAAGAGAAAAAACCTCTCTCTAGAGTGACATGACATTAGGGTTAAAACACGAACATTAGATTCAGATTTAACGTAGTTACTATATGATACACTGGTCTGGATCACAGCCCAGACCACTTTTTTGTGACGCTGTGTTAATGTAGCGTAAGTTTTAATTAAAAAAAAAACCTGGAATTATATAAAGAATAATTTAAATAAAATCAAAGTTTCCGGGACAATAGAACTCGTTCGTTTTTATTACTACTCCCATTTTACTATGAAGTATGATATAAGAAAAATTTCTTCAATAAAGTAAACGAAAAATTATTTCTTTAAAGTAGCAAATTATGCATACTAGTAAAATAAATAAGAATTATGAGAATTGATGAATATTGTTAATTTTCAGCGTCTCGTTTTTATCCTGACCAACAAAAGGAACACGTATGCAATATTGAATATGATGAGGACTGTAGTCGTGAATACATTTCTGATGACTGGTGTCTTATTCATTCAGTTAATGGAGAAATTAACGACGAAGTTTTTGATCGCAGATGGGAAGGTATTTAATATATTACATGAACTACTGTCGAAAAGTAAATGATTTTTTTCATATATACAGGTGTCCCAAAATGATGGAACAAAATTCAAATTTTTTTTCAGTTGAAATTTAAAAAAAATCGCTGAAACAGGTCAATAGAAATTGTCACATTTTGCAATATTTTCGATTTTTTAAGCCATATTTGACAGACCTACATCATTACCGCCATTTTCTTTAATAGGACTCTCTATATTTTATAGTATAAACAGATAGCCCTTCTAAAGACGAATTCAGCGTTACAAGGTTATACCTACTTTTTTATCATAGTTGTCAAAAAAATGTAAAAAATTGTCTTTTATGTCGTACTGACGACTATTTCAAACAATCATAGTCTCTTCTGAACTTTGAAAAACGAACCTACTCTTTATTAATCTTTTTCTACTTAGTTTAAAGCTTTTTTTCTCAAAAAAAAAAACACATCGATAAACACATAAAATTCACCAGAGTACCTTAGGTATAAAGTAATTTCAAATCATTCTTTGTTAAATTATTTTGAAAAATGGTTGCCCGTTTTAGCGAAAAACAGAGAATTGAAATTTTAATTATGATTGAATGCGGAGATAAAATCCGTAGTCAACAGGAGGTATGTGACTTATTTCACCAAACCAGACCAGAGAATCAGTTGAGCTACAGAAGTATCCAAAAAATTTGAAGAAACTGGAAATATAAAAGATTTAACTGGATCAGGAAGGCGAAGTAAGCGAAAATGACCGTCAAAATGTGATGCTCGCCGTTACTGAAAATCCTCACTCATCCATTAGATCTATCTCAGCCAACTTCAACTTGTCGAAGTCTCAAAGGTGGCATCCTTACAAAGTTAACGTCTTACAAAAACTATGGGCAAATGCACAGACAGAAGTTTACAGTTTTGCGAGGAAATTAGAAATTTATTTGAAAAACAACCCAACTTAAAAAACACTTAACCGGAACCGTGAACACTGAACAAGCAAATTACTAGGTTTTGGAGCCTAGAAAATCCGCATTGGATGCAAGAAAAACATACACAACGACCGGAAAAAGTGAATGTTTGGGCTAGAATAGTAGGAAATCGCATACTGGGACCTTATTTCTTTGAGGACAATTTGATAGGCGACAATTATTTTGATTTTTTGCGTTTTCAGCCGATTCCAGCCCTGGAATAAATTTTTCCTAACCCTAATGAGCACGATATGCCTACTGGTGATGTCTGGTTCCAATAAGATGGTGCCCCTCCACATTTTCGCCTCGATGTAAGAAATTACCTTAAGGGCCCCATATTCTTTAAATAGTGTTTTCCGCAAAGACAAATAATTTCAAACATTTAATAACTGAATAATCTAAAGCTTATCAAATAATAGGAATGTTATGTCATGCCACCTGAGTATTTTCAAAGACGCCGCAGTAAAACGAATAAACAGGTGCAAAAAACGATCAAACCATCAAGGTTTTAGGTACTGAAATCTACGAAAATACTAACTTTTTTATATATAACTCCACATGTAAATATTCTTATAACATTTACTTGCTTAGTCCTACATATAAAATTGTTTACTTTTATTTATAAGTACGTGAAAATAATTCTTAAAATGTGGGGTTAGAATAACAGCAAACGCATGTTTTACAAACGCTTTTTTTTAGTTATTATTTTATTTGGGTAAATTTAAATGGTAACAATGAATAAACAAAACATCAAGGATTTTATTTTTGTGCTTACTTTTGTTCTATACGTTTTACTTTTCAAGATTTCAGTACCTAAAAATACCAGAAATTTCATCATTTCTCGGCCAGGGATATGGCAACCTTAATGAAGTTTTCCCAAATCGATGGATAGGCAGAAGAGGGCCGCTTGAATGGCCGCCACGCTCCTCTGACTTAACCCCACTAGATTTTTATTTGAGGGGTTATCTAAAAAGCAGAGTATTTGTGAACAAACCAGACACTATCGAAGGATTGAAAAATCGTATCAGAGAACATTTGCCGTAATAAAATAAAAAGTAGTAGGCTATGACAAAAAGGTAGGTATAACCTTATATCGCTGAATTCGTTTTTATAGGGACTACCTATCTATTTATACTATAAAATATAGAGCGTCCTGTTAAAAAAAATGTCGGTAATGTTATAAGGTCTGTCAAACATGGCTCAAAAAAATGGAAAATATTGCAGAAAAGTGATAATTTGTATTTACTAATTGACCTGTTTCAACGATTTTTTGAAATCTGAACTGAATCCATTTAAAATCGGAGTACGTCTCTTATTGTTAAACAGATATACAGGGTGTTTCAAGATTAAGTCGACAAACTTTAAGGAGATATTCCTCATAAAAAATAAGAAAAAAATCAAGAATAAATTATTTTCCAGAAACGCTTTATTTTCGAAATATAGGGCGTTACAGATTTTTTTAAAAATTCGAATTTTTTAAATAACCTAAATGAAGAAGGCTATTTAAACTAAATTAGTTATGACACATCTTCTTAAAAGATACCATTTTCCCATAGAAGTAGAAGTCCCTCAAGCAACCAGTGGCGGAGTTATGAGGACTAAGACTCATTAAATTATAAAAAATAATAATACGGCCCTACTGGAAATAAAAAATTATGTTGTTTGTTATTGACAAAAAGTGTACATTCACTTTTTTCCTAACACTTATAGTTTCATGGCAACATTGATTTTTCGGAAGGGTGCTTCTGGATTCTGTCGATAAACTTTGGGAAGACGTTCCTCATAAAACCTAAAAAAATATAGTACCTACCTCTTAAAATTGGTTTTAGTCTCGAGTATGTGTGAGTCAAATAAGCCTTTTTGTCTCCCCTTCCCTTCAGTTTAACCAATAGTATTAAAATTATTTAAGAGATGCTTCGTTTTTGAAATATAGGGTGTTTTTTTAGAAAAAAAAAAAATTATGATGAAGACAACAGAAATATTTAAGTACCTAACATCTAATGTGACCCGTCGTAATGCGACAACGTCACGACCCTTGCAATACTGCTAAATTTTTTCAGGCGGTTTGTAGTCACTCCATTTACTTGTGTTGTGTACTTTTAAATAAAATAAGATGGCAAACAGTACATGAAAATTTATTTGTAAATTGAAACAACCAATTAATATTATACCTAGCCAAAGCGAAAAGTGAATCAAAAATGAAATGATTTAAAAAATATGTTGTTCAAAATGTGCGCCTCCGGACTGTAGACAAGCACGACCTTCTAATTATGGAGGTAGTGGCCGATCGACACTGAATTGGTTAATTCTCGACACGCTTGGACTATTCGCTGTTTTAGATCTTCTAGGGTATCAACTGGCACCTCATAGACTTTTTTTAACAGCACTCCAAACGAAATAATCCATCGGTGTCAAGTCCAGTGAACGTGCGGGCCACGCTGCAGGTCCTCCACGACCAATCCATCTCCTGGGATAATTAATGTTTAACCACCCCCTAGGACCTCTACCAAAATGGGCAGAACAACCATCTAGTTGAAACCAACTGTTAATTCGAGTATTAAGCGGAACATCTAACAGATCTTGAAAACCATTTTCAAGGAACTCGGTAAACATATCGGCATTTAACCGATGCGGAAGGAAGTAGGAACCAACTATAGTGTTGTTCAACACACCCAACCATAAGTTACATTGGAATTCATGCTGAAAACTGTGTTTTCTTATCGCCCGTGGATTCTCGTAGGACCAAATATGGTTGTTCTTTTGGTATAAAATTCCCCTTCGAGTAAATGTTGCCTTATCTGTCCACATTACTTTTTGCGTAAACTGATCATCATTCTCTGCTTGGTTTAACATCCAGTCATAAAACACGCGCCTGCATGTCCTGAGGCAATAAATGTTGCACACGCTGGATATGGAACGCGTGGCGTCCATCAGCCCAAAAAGTCCTCCAAATGGAACTTGACGAAATACCTAGCTCATAGCTAGATCTTCTAACACTCGTGGATGGATTTTCATCGAAATGGTTTAAAATAGTATTCGATCTTAATTCGTCCTGTAATGGGGCAAAATGTCCAAATGTCGTTGAAAATGTTTCCTTTGATGGTAGTCTGCGATGAGGAAATCTTATTGCATATTCACGACGAGCCGCCATGGCATTTCCATCATAAAAACCATATATAAAGCATATTCATTGTTCGAAAATATGGACGGCATTATTAAACTTATTTTTATTAGTTTGATCGCTTTATCTAATTGATAATTTATGCAACAATTCGCAAAATAACATTTAAAACATCAAATTAACATTGCTTGACAGCAGCCTCGAAAATTTTTGTTGAGGTTCATTTTAAAGTTTAACGACAGAATCCAGAAACACCCTTCCGAAAAATCAATTTTGCCATGAAACTATAAGAGTTAGGAAATAGGGCCGTATTAATTTTTTTTATAATTTAACACCCTATATTTCGAAAGTGAAGCGCCTCAGGAAAAAAATGTATACTTGATTTTTTTCTTATTTTTTTATGAGGAATATCTCCTTAAAGTTTGTCGACTTAATCCTGAAACACCCTGTATGTATGTGGCATAAAGAGATTAAATATGTACATACATAATTATTATTACAATATTTTTAAAGAAGTAATAATAAAATAAATATATTATTACGACATTTCTAACTACGGAAGGCAAAATACAATACAAACAAAATATAAACTGTCAAAATTTAAAATATCTTCTTACTCTGTCGAATATTTTGATGAATCTGTAGATTTTTATTTTTTTGAGAACTTTATCATTCAAGGGCAAATATCAGAAAATATTCTTAAATTGAAGCGGTGAAAACGCACCATCAATTTTACACGTTGCTATGTAGTACCTACTATAATTCTAACTTTATCTAATGGTATCACCTTTACAAATTGCTAATTTGTACCAAAACTGTAAATAAACAAGATATTTCGATTGGGGCGCCATATTTTTTAAAAAAAGCATTCCTCGTAACTACGCCACTGGGTTAAACTGAGGTTAAAATTTTTTACATGAATGGCATTTAATTCTTTGTATTATAGCACCAGAATTTTGTTTTAATATCTTCATTTGGTCAAAAGATACTCAGAGATATAGGTATATTTTTGAACTTCGAAGACTTGAAGAACTTGAAGAAACGAGGACTTCAGGGGTAAATGTTCATGTAAGGAGATATTCTAAAATGTGAAGGACAAACATATTTGATTACTGGTAAACAACACCTTTTATTCTTTAACAGTCCAATTATATTATACAGGGTGTCCCATTTTAATGTCCCACCCCAAATATCTCGAAACCCGAGCAGAATGAGGAAAAATGTTTTAGACAAAAGTTATAGGGTTTGGAGGGGGACATACGAAGGTGACCTTGAAAATGACCTTGAAGTCGATTTTCAAGGTCAAACGAGGGTCAACTTCGATTTTTCAAATGAAAACCCCAATTTTTTATTGCAGGATCGTATTCTACGGAAAAAAATACAAACTTTTTGCAGGAAACTTTTTTTTCGAAAATGCATTTTTTTCCGAGTTTTTCACGAATTTCGTTCGTCATGTTGTTTGAAGTGTCAGATGGATCCTGGCTGGGATTCATGCATTACTCGCTGCCTGAGTCTTCAATGCTCGAGAGCAGGGCAACGGAACTTATCAAATTATCAAATTTTTTAATTGTTCGGTACGATCCAATAATCAGCATTACCGCGAGAGCGAAGAGACCGAGCGAGAACGTGCCATCGCGCAACTCCCGGGCCCCTACCGCATGTTCGAAGACGCTTGAAGATTACATGAGCAGGGAGCTGCGGCAGGAGAGGCTCGCTACCCCATTTGCCCCTACCGATCGCGCTGCTGCTGGAAAATAGAAAAACAGAAAATAACACAAACTTGACAAATCAAATCAACACACATGAGACTGCTAGAGTTCTCTGAGGAGAGGAACGGGGGCGTGCGTTCCCCTCGATTTTTTGGCAGCAATTTTATCCTTGTCTTGAACTGTTCCTCTCACACCTTTGATTTTATCAGGTGAAAATTGTTTACAGCTATTCAAAATAATAGAGAAACAAACGCGCCCCCTCTTCACTTTGTCCAGACGATCCTTATGTGTGTTAATTCGGAGAGTTGAAATTTCGCTGTTCCGGATTAGTTACACAACCATCGAGTACTAGTGTTTCTAGTGAAATAATACCCCAGTCTGTCCTAGTGGTCAATAGGATCCATCTGACACTTCAAACAACATGACGAACGAAATTCGTGAAAAACTCGGAAACAAATGCATTTTCGAAAAAAAGTTTCCTGCAAAAAGTTTGTATTTTTTTCCGTAGAATACGATCCTACAATAAAAAATAGGGGTTTTCATTTGAAAAATCGAAGTTGACCCTCGTTTGACCTTGAAAATCAACTTCAAGGTCATTTTCAAGGTCACCATCGTATGTCCCCCTCCGAACCCTATAACTTTTGTCTAAAACATTTTTCCTCATTCTGCTCGGGTTTCGAGATATTTGGGGTGGGACATTAAAATGGGACACCCTGTATAGAATGATTTACTTAAGAAAGCTCACAATAAGGGTCTCGAAAACGGTAAGAGAGACAAAATTGCAGTTACAGCTTATCCAAACTCATTTTGTTCATGGGATACGCTGATCAAGAAGAGAATCTGCATTAGGAGTGTCTAAGTCAGGAGACCTTAATACCGGGGCAGGCACCTTCTGTGCAATGTTATGCATAGGTACCGATGTTCACCGTTGGAAGTTTAGGCAGAGAATGAGCTCTGGTACTAGTCTGGTAACGTTGCTAGTGCACACAAGAAACTTGGATAAGATGAATTTGGTCAAGCTGTAAATTTCAAAAATCAGTTTTCTTTATTTTGAATAACTTTTTAACTATAAATATATCAAAGTTTTTCTAGATGATTTATATTTTGTTTTCGACAAAGTCCATTCACATACCTTTATACAGGTGTGGTATATGAATTTTGAAAACGCTGTGTGTAAGAAAAAAATTACTATCGTCAATTAAAGTCTATGGACGAAAACAAAGACTAATGATACTAGTCTACACAAGATATTGATTTACGCAGTAGCTAAAATTTTCAAGTTTCTATTACTTATAATTACGAAGCTATTCAAATTAATGTTTCCATAGAAATCATCATCCCAAAGCATTTGACGTTGCACAACTTTTTTTATAATTCAATAAATTTTATGTCTTGTATTGTTTTCGATTTCCTCGTGATATGTATAGACTTCAATTTTTTTTTCAGAATTCAGGATTTATAAAAGCAGGCATTTGCAGAAGGACGAAACTTTATTGTTTAAAGAAGTACTTAATATCAGGATTACAAAGACCGACTTCGTAATACCTTTTTCAGTGCGTCTTGAAAATGAAGGACACGTTTTTCTTTGTGAAGATGACATTAATAATTCAAATTGTTACTGGATAATGTTAGAAGCTTGGGCTGGTAAAAAATCTGCTTTAAGGAGGTGTAATGCGGGATATATACCCACTGAAAACAAGCGATACCCTAATGAGTCTTGCAGTACATTAAAAGCTGAGTTTGTACGTATAACATATATAAAATTTTGTATGATTTAAACTTAATGTCTAAATCTAAAAATCTTTACAATACCTAAAATTAAAGCTCTTGAAAATCTAGTTTTAAAATAACAATAATTTTTTGTCCAACAGTTGCAGTTTTATATGAGTTTTGCAGATTTGTTTTTAGTGACTAAAATCAAATTCCAATTAGGTACTAGTGACTACATTTTTTCCACTAGAAAAGAAAAAATACAAATTTAAATAAAGAGATATTATATAATTATCTATTTATTACTATTTAGTAGGGTGGCCCAAAAAAAACGAATATTTTTTTTCTTGTCTATTGTGAAAATATGTTAGTTTATCATGTTTTAAGAGCCCCCGCAAAAAATCAGCTCAAAAAAATTTTTTTAGGGATGGCTCAAGATTTTTAAAAACTAAAATCGTCAAAAATTGAAACTTTTTTAATATTTTTTTCGTTATTTTATCATTTTCTAGGTTGCAAAAAATCTCGATTCTGAAAATTTCAAATCGATATTTTAATTTCTAAAGGTCACTCATAATTATTTTAACTTTCAAAGTAGTGACCTAAAATGTTTTCGAGCGACCTCTAAAAATAAATATCAACGAACTAATAATTTATTTTATTGAATCTGATGAACAAAAAAATAGAAATGGGAATAGAAATAAATCACGATACCCTTAAAAAATTTCTCGAGGCAAAATTTACTACCGCACTGTGAGTATCAAATATTTATAATTTTTAAATTTTTTTAAAATTCAAGTGTCGTGATTTATTTCTATTCTCATTTCTATTTTTTTGTTCATCAAATTCAATAAAAAAAAAAATATTAGTTCGTTGATATTTATTTTTAGAAGTCGCTCGAAAACAGGTACACTACTTTGAAAGTTAAAATAATTATGAGTGACCTTTAGAAATTAAAATATCGATTTGAAATTTTCAGAATCAAGATTTTTTTCAACCTAAAAAATTATAAAATAACGAGAAAACAATCCTAAAAAAAATTCAATTTTTGACGATTTTGGAAATTTTTAAAAATCTTGAGCGACCCTTAAAAAAAATTTTTTTGAGCTGATTTTTTGAGGGGGCTCTTAAAACATGATAAACTAATATATTTTCACAAGAGACACGAAAAAAATATTCGTTTTTTTTTTGGGCCACCCTACCATTTAGTATTTATATTAAATCGAAAAGTTGCATTGTGAAAATGAATTCCACTACCAAAGGGAGTTAATTTTCTTTGTGGGGCATCATTCTATTAATATTTGCCATTGTAATCGTCGTGTTCTACAGTAGAAGAGGTCAGCAGAAAGTCAGCAGTAACCGTAAATGTTGTAGTAAAACAGCATGTTGTCATACAAAATTGTTTTCCCAACGTTGATTTTCTGTTGAAGAGAATCTTTGACATATCCTTCAGCTTCCACTTCACTTTTCACTTTTCCAACTTCCAAAACACTCCAAGGTAATGATGTCTCCGTCACAATCTGCTAAGAAAGTAGCTGCTGCTAATTGAATGACCGGTATATGTTCTGGATTTTTTAGAATCGAGAATTTGGCAAGGTTTGTAGGTATTTTCCCGAAAGCGTTAATGCCTACAGATTGAACAGTACATTTTCATTGTTAGTAGTTGAGAAACAGTCGACTGGTTATTGTTTTCTGCAGACGCAACTTATATATTTTCGATACATCTCTATTGGGCTAATGCCAAAATCAGCTTTCAAAATCGTAGACTATTTATTGTGAGATTTTGTGAATCGCAGATGAACCAGTAGAATATCACTCTTTTTTCTTTTTTCGTCACATTTGCATCCACCAGTAACAATGAAAACATCAACCCATCTAAACATTAGACAATAATTAGTAAAACAACTTTTCTGTCTTCTCGGCTTTGAATAATGAACGTTTCTTTAAATTTTAGCTGAGTTAATTCCAAATATGCAGCTGCTGCTTCAATCGCATATTTTCTGGCAGACTCCATCACGTTCATTATTTATGAACAACTATCCATGCCGACCGACCTTGACAACCAAGACATAACTGCTTTAGTTCTTAAAAAATTTATTCAAGTTTGTTTTTGCAAAAAAACTGCAACTGCTGGACATAACATATTCATGTATCACACGTAAAGCTTTGGTTTGTTAGAGCTGTGCGTCACAGACGACATACGCTGTTAGCAGAATCTGTAGCGTTCAACTTTATCGGTTTTGAAGGAGGGTGTTTTGTTAGATTTAGTGCTTGTGATTGTATGCTGATAAGAGCAGACGAAAATATTTATTATTAGTTTGGCAATTTTTTTTTTTTTTTCATGACAATGGCTGAACATTTTTTTGCTGACAATACTCATTGAGAAACAACATGAAAAAGATTTTTTAAATTTAATTAGTTGTCATCAAAATACAAGTGAAGGTCGAATGTTTTCTAACAGACATTTGGAAGGTACGGTATACAATGGGGGATGTTCTCGTACGAGATCGATTAATTCCTCGTCGTCCTCTGGTAAAAACTTGGTTGCCGTTTTAAAATTCGTTAAAAATAAACGCTTTTTAGCACTGTACGCTGTGAGCTCAACTGACGACTGCGTTGAAATCAAATCGGATTTGATTTCGACTGAACCGACGACGCACATAATTTTCTGCCCACCGTGAGTCCACCTTAAGCTTTGGTTTGTTAGAACTGTGCGTCGCAGACGACATACGCGGTTAGCAGAATCTGTAGCGTTTAACTTTATCGGTTTTGAAGGAGGGTGTTTTGTTAGATTTAGTGCTTGTGATTGTATGCTGATAAGTGCAGACGAAAATATTTATTATTATTTTGGCAAATTTTTTATTCATGACAATGGCTGAACATTTTTTGCTGACAATACTTATTGAAAAAGAACATGAAAAAGACCTTTTAAATTCGATTACTTGTCGTCGTCAAAATAAAACTAAAGATCAATGTTTTCTAACAGACGTTTGGAAGAAACGGTATACAATGGGGGATGTTCTCGTAGGAGATCGATTAATTTCTCGTCTTCCTCTTGTTGCCATTTTAAAATTCGTTAAAAATAAACGCTTTTTAGCACTGTACGCTGTGAGCTCAACTGGACGACTGCGTTGAAATCAAATTAAATTGATTGATCGTCTAAAAATCTACGGACATCGCGAACAAAAAGGGCCGGATCTCCGTCGTGCACATACCACATATCCCGTAGCATCTGAAGAGGAAGTTTTTCAAACAATTCTACTAAAAATTGAAAGTAACGCGGCCCATTCAGATGTTCAGGTAGAAAATGCAGCCCAATTAAACGATCGCCATATACTCCTGCCCATACATTGACACCGAATCTCCTCTGAAAGCTATACCGACGAGTAGTATGCAGGTTTTCATCTGACCAAATGTGACTATTATGGTTGCAAAGAAATTAGCTCTCTTTCGCTTTAAATAAAATTTAATATTGAAGTTACAAAACTCCAAGAGTTCAAGTAATTTAAATTTCATTTCATAACCATTTCAATTTCATTACAGAAATAATGACATAAAAAACCAAAACTCACTAGATAAATTATAAAGAGAGGGTGAAATGTATGTAGTATTTAAATATTGACTGTAAGTAATAGAAGATAAAAAACAATCGGACGGAGACAAATAAACAACTCGGTACGTGTTTCCGACCTAGGCTAACCTATATCTAGGTCAATAACCTTCTATCTGACCCACTTTTAATTTGCACGTGTACAATAGTCTAGGAGCCAAAACTTGGTCGCAAAGCCTGAAAGTGGTGAATTTAATTGTTATAAACAAATAAAATGTTTAAATGGCTGTAAAAGTTTTTATTTTTATAGGTAGTAAACGGAACCCTATCTGGCTTCTAGACTAATACGAACTGTAGTAGGATCGTATTAGTTAAAAAATCACAAGAGTTAAAAAGTGCTTATTTTTGCCCAAACTACATAACCTATGTGTTTTCATATCGATTTTAAAGTTTTCGGAATTTTGCAAGTTTTTTGTTAATAACAAATACTGACCATCGATACAGAAAAATGTCATTAAGGTTTTTTGTTCGCAACAACGTAATATAGCGATTAGAAAAGGTTTCATCCTGGCCCCCTCCGTGGTCGGTCCACTCGTTTTTTTGTGCGTCTTTTTAGGGATGCACCGCTCGCCTATTAAAACCACATCATTCATTAAACCAAAAATATTCGGATTCGATGTTCAAAATATTAGGAGCAATTATTAGTATAGTATAGTTTTTAATTTCAAAAATACTATGTGGCTCAAAAAGTTTAAAACACATTCTGCACTCAACTAATTTCTGTTTTAGCATCACACAGAAAAAATGATAAGCGATGAATTTTGGACCCACTTCAAAATATCCGTGAAAAATGGTACTATTTCTGTCAAGAAAAGCAATGAAGAGTCAGAATTATTAAATTTCAATGATGACAATCCCTTTTCACCCAGGCGCATATTTGTTCACAGCAAAAAAAAAGTTGGTCTCTGGAAATTTCACACATGTAAGTTTAAAAAACAAACATTCTTAACATATATTATAAAATCAAAGCTGAAAGAAATTTTTATTCGAAGAATGACAATATGTCGTGGTATTAGCCGTCGCCTCTATCAAGATCAAAAGAAACGACATTTGACTTTTTATGTTCTTATGGGAGCAATACTGAATTTTTGAATTATTGATATTTCTCATTTCGATAATATGTGATATAGTTAACTTTTTTATTGCCGAAACGTAAAATTTTGTATTGACTAAAACTGAAAAAGATTTTCAAATATTCTTATATTTGTTATATTCTCTGTGTAGTAGAGTGTAACTTTGAATGAAGGGGTCATACATATACGAGGCTACCTTTGTACCTATATTGGAGGCTAACTTTGATCTTTAGAAACATACAAGTTTGTTTTCTCAAATTGCGTTGTGAAAACTGAATTTTTTAGTCCCACCGCTGAACAAAGTAAGTTGAATATGCAAAAAAACGTATGGTAATAAAATTTAATGAGTTTCATAGGCGTCCCTAAAAAAATTTTCTGCTAAAGGTCAAAATTATAATTGTATATAATGTGTAGAAAATTTCTATTATATGTTCATTTGGCCAACAACATATTTTAATTATTTTTGTCCTCAAACAATTTTATTATATTGGTGGGAAATTTCGTTTTGTCCCGTTTCAAAAGGCCTCCAAAATGTCATGTTGTGATAATATTAGTAAACAAAATATCCCTCTTATTTTTCCCTTTCGCAATTGTAATATGAATGATTGGTAGAAGGTGCTTATAATAAATTAAAATTACCTGATTCTCACCAAATTCCGCATTGCTGCACTGCACTGCTGGGCAATTTATGAACCACCTGTCATCTGCTGTGATTTATTGCCCAGAAGTCCAATACAACTGTGATCGTTTTCCTTTGCCCGCGCTCGCATTCTTCAACTGAGCGTATACATTTCTATCACCTCCACGTGGTACATACCTTGAAGTTATTGGTTCTTCAATTGACTTTGGAAAAACTATACCTACTTGGGAACCGCGGTATGCATAGTTGTCAAATCTTATAATTTAAGAGAAAGCTGGAAAATTTTTTTAGAAAGCAAATTATTATTGAGAGGTTGTTCGCCAGCAGCCTAAACATCTTAGCATCAAACATAGAAAGTTTAATTCTTTTAAACAAGATAAACTATGAAACTAAATTTTTCATATATCCCCACAGATAAAAATCGCAAGATTGTAAGTCTTGAGGTTTTGGTGACTAGTTTAATCAATCCGTAACAATTCGTGCACTGTATGGTGGTGTTCCATCAAGTTGATACCATTTTACATTCTTTAAGTAAGTCTTCAAACCTACTTCAGAGAAAATTAAAATAAGTCTTACCAGTTTATGATCCATTACGTAAGGTCCTATCAATGTATTGCTGACTAAATATTAATATGATTTTTTTTTTTTTGATAATGAGTATCTCTTGTCAAATAGGGATCTTCATCAAACGAAAAGTATGTTATGAATATTAAACGTTCCAACTCTTGTAAAATCATCGGTCCATTATACACAATTTGAGAAGTTCTTTCTCGTTGCATTTACTCCTAAATTACTCGCAGAATTCTTAACGTCTGGGTAAATCTTCCGATTTCTGAACGTGATATGGATATAATCTGTGACGACGTATTTGGTCATGCTTGTTTTGCCGAATTGAAACAATGATCAAACATTAGTCTGGCTTTCATACAGAACCGCATTTCACATTGTATCCCGTTTTCATTCTCGATTTAATATTGTTGCTATATTGTTTGTTTTGGATTAATTTAACATGTCTGTCACCGATTTGGCTGATAAAGTGGATGAATAAGGAAAGAAATTTAAAACGTACCGCATTTTATTTATAATTTTATAGCTTTTTAGGCTGTTTTAACTTTCCTATGTACTTTACGTAGTGACCGTAGTACAATTCAGCTAAATTAAATCAGTGTCTGAGACATTGACTTAAAAAAAAATCATTACACACTAGGCACAGAAATTGAGGGATATAAAAAAAATCCCAAAATTTTGGGTGATTTTCAAAGAGCTGTAACTTGGAGGGAAATGGTCGTAGAGAGAATAAAAAAAAAGGAAATTGAAGCTCCAGATGTCTAGTTTTCAGATCGGCAGTTTAAAATTTTTTAGCGCCAGGAGTTTTTGAGTAATCATAAGAAAATCAACGGAAAAAAATATAATTTTTTGCTTTTTTAAAGAGGCCTATGGACTTCAAAAATTTTTTTTGGTAATTTCGTCATAAAGCTCTTTTAGATAATTTCATTCTCTTCAATTTGAGCGGTTCCGAAGCCTTGTACGATTATTTGTCGCCGAGTTATCATTTTTTACTTTGGCAATCAATTACTCGGGAAATAATGGTCGTACAGAAAATCCAAGCAGAGTTTTGGAAACTGCAAAGTATTCTCTACAAGTCGTAATTATGGGATTTTGATAAAAGAAATTTTTTCAAAGTGAAAATGTTGGTTAGAAAAAAGTTAAAAAATTGTTTAATTAGGGATATTTGAATAACTTGACATAACCATGAAAATAATGAATAAACTAGGGATATCGACTGTAACTTTTCAACCTCAAAGTGTCCTAAGGAAACCCTGATAATTTCGAAACCATGCGATTTTTTTCCTAGTGCCCGGAATGTTTTAATGTGTCGTTTTGCTGAAAATCAATGTAATAAGTAATTTTTCACTTTTTATTCATTTTTTTAAGTTAAAAAATTTGTTAGCAATAATCCATATTTTCTTCATCAAATGATTGGAATGATTACCAACTGAGTTCTGGTATTGATGGATACGCTTGCCCATACCATAACTGAACCGTCATTAAAAGCCGTAACAGGCCGCGTAAAATTATCGGTATCACGTTCCCCACGACGACGCCAAACGAGAAATCATCTGTCGTTGCCATGGCAATTCCGTTATGGTATGGGCAACCGTATCCATTAATACCAGAACACAGTTGATAATCATTCCCGGAACACTGATTGCCAAAAGGTACACCACCGAAATCCTTGAACCACACGTCCTGCCCATGCGTACAAGCATGAAGAATCGTTTCATTCTCATGCAGGATAATGTTCATCTTCAAGCCGCAAATCGCACGAGAAAGTTTCTTCACGCCAACAATGTGGTAACTCTCAGCCACCCACCTATGAGTCCCGACTTGAATCCCATTGGGCATGATTAGGACATGCTCGGGCGTCCATGACGACGAGATTATCCGCAATTACAAAATCACCATCAATTGACCCAGGCTATTTTACAAACGTGACAAGGAATTACGCAACAAGACATCCGGCATTACATTAATATGCGAGACCGCTTAGAATCAGTTATCAGGAACAGAGGCGGCAATACCCGATATTAAATTGTGATCTACAACGTCAAATCAACAGTTTGTGAAGCTTGTATTAAAAAAAAAAATTGAAACAAATAATTTTTGAAAATAATTTTGTTTTCATTTTTCTTAGAATCATGAACGTTTTTTGATGAAGAAAATATGGATTATTAAAAAACACTTTTAACTTAAAAAAATGAATGAAGAGTGAAAAATTACTTAATACATTGATTTTCAGCAAAACGACAAATTAAAACATTCCGGGCAGTAGGAAGAAAAAAATCTCTGCGTTTTGAAATTATCAGGGTTTCTTTAGGACACTTTGAGGTTGAAAAGTTACAGTCGATATCATTAGTTTATTCATTATTTGCAAAGTTATGTCAAGTTATTCAAATATTTTTTACCTTTCTTCTAACCAACGTTTTCACTTTGAACTTTTTTTATCAAAAACCCATAATTATGACTTGTAAAGAATACTTTGCAGTTTCCAAAACCCTGCTTAGATTTTCTGTACGACCATTATTTCTCGAATAATTGATTGCCAAAGTCAAAAATAATTTTTTTGCTTTGATCGACGAAATTATCTAAAAGAACTTTATGATGAAATTACCAAAAAAATTTTAAAGTACATATGCCTTTTTTAAAAAAGCAAAATTTTACAATTTTTTTCCGTTGAATTTCTTATGATTACTCAAAAACTGCTGACGCTAAAAAAAATTTAAACTGCAGATCTGAAAACTAGACACCTGAAGCTTCAATTTCCTTTTTTATTCTTCCTACGAACATTTCCCTCCAAGTTAAAGCTCTTTGAAAATCACCCAACTTTTTTTAATATCCCTTAATTTCTGTGCCTAGTGTATTAGTATTTTTTAAGTTTTAAAACGGCAAAAATTATTATTTTATTAGCATACATTAGTTTTGCTTACAATAAGTAATGTATTGTCGTGGAACATCGTGTGGAGGAACAGTCGGGTTTTGATTAGCTGCAGATCGTTCGGGCGTTGGCGCATCCGGCTGGGCCGCGCCACGCCGTGTAACTCTACTGGGCACCACAGCGGTAGTATCTCAACATCGTTCTTAAGCATGAATGTCGGATGATGCAACTTAGTCTATAGTAGGATCGTATTCGATGCAAAGTAGAGCAAAAAATTGTCGGCCTTTTATCAAAGAAAAATCGTGTCATCATTTTTAGGAGGCGTAAGATAAATCATTTCAAANTAGCAATAATCCATATTTTCTTCATCAAATGATTGGAATGATTACCAACTGAGTTCTGGTATTGATGGATACGCTTGCCCATACCATAACTGAACCGTCATTAAAAGCCGTAACAGGCCGCGTAAAATTATCGGTATCACGTACCCCACGACGACGCCAAACGAGAGATCATCTGTCGTTGCCATGGCAATTCCGTTATGGTATGGGCAACCGTATCCATTAATACCAGAACACAGTTGATAATCATTCCCGGAACATTGACTGCCGAAAGGTACACCACCTAAATCCTTGAACCACACGTCCTGCCCATGCGTACAAGCATGAAGAATCGTTTCATTCTCATGCAGGATAATGCTCATCTTCAAACCGCAAATCGCACGAGAAAGTTCCTTCACGCCAACAATGTGGTAACTCTCAGCCACCCACGTA